GAGATACCCGATGCTGATGAACCTGACGAACTCTCTCAAGAGTACGCCGAACAGGAAGCAAAGAAAGAAGCAGAGGCACTGGAGCCTGTCTCAGGAGATATCCCCATCGGCGATGATCAAGAGGCCGATGCTGCAGCAGAACCTGTCGCCGAGGATGAGGACGAAGATGATGACGTCCCGATCACCCGGCGAACCCGGGGCTCTCGCGCCAACATTGAGGAAGAACCAGCCGAGCCTGAAGATGCCGAGGGTGAAGCTGTCGACACCGAACAAACCGGTCAGCCCCGTCGGCTTACTCGCAGATCGGTTCTCAAGAAGAAATCAGCAGCGGAACCTAGTAGTGATTTTGATCCCGGCGAGGAGTCGGACGACGATGCTGCTCTCTCCGAAAAGGGGGGAAACGAAGACAATGAGCCGGATAGCCCCACCCCCCGGGGACGCGCAGGGAGGAGAGCCCGCCCGTCGCGCGGCGGTGGCGGGGCTGACTCTGCCGAAGAGGAGCCCGATTTCGATATGGACGAACTGAATGAAGAAGCCCGCGAGCTGAGAGCTGGTTCGCGACCTCGCCGCCGACGACAACGTGAGGAATCTCCCATCATATTTGAGGAGAAGAACAGGCGTTCCAGAAATAAGGTCAATTACTACATGCCTCCGCTCACTGCTGCCATTGTTGAGGAGGAGGAGGACCCTGCACCCACGCCAGGGAGGTCTCGCCGTGGTCGTGGGGCTGCTGCCACTAATTGGGAGCGCAACCTCAACACCACATTCGGCCCCTTTGGAGGAGGCGGAGGAGGAGGCTCGCTTCTCACTGGGCCCTGGGGAACCGGAGCAACTGGTGGCGTGGATTCAGATAGCAGTGATGATGAAATGGTGCATCGCTCCAACGTTGCTGGCAACATTGGAATGACCCCAACAACTGCAGCTCCCGCTGGTGGTCTCTTACCCGGTGGCCAGGGGTTGGCCGCTGAGACTCCTAATGTCGGAAAAATCAAGGACCGCAAGGCACTGGCTGATGCTGATCCCCTTGGGGTTGACATGAATGTTGATTTCAGTAAAGTCGGTGGTCTGCAGGGCCATATCGATCAACTGAAGGAAATGGTGCAGCTCCCACTTCTTTACCCAGAACTCTTCGCCAAGTTTCATGTTACACCCCCTCGAGGAGTTCTGTTCCATGGACCGCCCGGTACCGGTAAGACTCTTCTTGCTCGAGCCCTTGCCAACTCTGTTGGCTCAGGTGGCAAAAAGATATCCTTTTACATGCGAAAGGGTGCAGACGCTCTGAGTAAATGGGTCGGCGAGGCTGAAAAGCAGCTTCGACTTCTCTTCGAGGAGGCTAGGAAGACACAGCCCAGTATTATCTTCTTCGACGAAATCGACGGATTGGCTCCTGTGAGATCTAGTAAACAAGAGCAGATCCATGCGTCCATTGTATCCACCTTGCTTGCTCTGATGGATGGTATGGATGGCCGCGGACAGGTTATTGTGATTGGTGCCACCAACAGACCCGACAACATTGATCCGGCACTTCGACGACCAGGTCGTTTCGACAGAGAATTTTACTTTCCTCTCCCAGACATCGATGGCCGTCGCTCGATCATCAACATCCACACCGAGCACTGGGGCCTCGCTGATGACTTCAAGCATGCGCTAGCACAACAGACCAAGGGTTATGGTGGTGCTGATCTCCGGGCTCTGTCTACGGAGGCCGCTCTCAACGCTATTCAGCGAACATACCCTCAGATTTACTCTTCCAAAGAGAAGCTTATTGTCAACCCTGATAAAATCAGTGTTCACGCATCGGATTTTATGATGGCGATTAAGAAGCTGATCCCGTCCTCTGAGAGATCTGCGACATCTGGTGCCCAGCCACTTCCAAAATCCATTCATGATTTGCTGTCTGATCAGTTCGAAGCTGCAAAGCAGGCACTGGACGAAGTTCTCCCTCGGAAGAAGAAAATGACAGCCCTTGAGGAAGCCATGTATGAGCAGTTTAACGATGCGGATCATGGATTTGGGCGAGAGGTTTTGCACCAGGAGTTTGAGCGATCCCGTGTGTTCAGACCTCGCTTCATCATACATGGCGCGCACGGCATGGGTCAAGGATATCTTGCCTCAGCTATTCTGCACTATCTTGAGGGTGTCCATGTGCAGAACTTTGATCTGCCTAGCCTGTTGAATGACGGCCGAGTAAGTTAATATGCTTTTTTTTTAACTCTTTGATTCCTCCTCCCCTCTCTAAATGGTTGTCATGTTTTTGAGTCCACGTTCTGACATATTGCAGGCTATGGAGCAGGTGATTGTTGGCCTTTTCACAGAGGTTCGACGTCATAAACCTAGTGTCATCTATATTCCTAATATTGATGCTTGGTACGCGTCGCTCAAAGGAACGCTTGCAATGATCACCTTCCAGACCATGTTGCGGTCAATCCCTCCGACGGACCCCGTGCTCGTTTTCGCAACGGCAGAGTGCGAACAGAATGATCTTCCAGCTGAATTGTTCCGAGACTTCTTTGGGTTCTCACGCAAAAATCGGATGGAGATACCTCGACCTACGGCTGTAAGTGCAATACCGAGGTTATTATTGAGAATAGTGAGGGCTAATTAGAGTCTAGGCAAATCGCAGAAAGTATTTTGCGGCGGCTCTGGGTTTTATCAAGAAGAAGCCTGCAGACTTTCCTGACCCCGAGAATCGTAAAAAGCGTGTTTTGGAGGTTCTTCCAGTGGCTCCTGCACCACAGCCGAAGCCTCCTACCAAGGCTGAGATGAAGGCCTTGAAGAAGAAGGATCATCAGTTGCTCAACACGCTAAAGATTCAGCTACAGCCCATCATGGACCAGATCAACCGGAAATACAAGAAGTTCAGACAGCCCGTGATCCCGCAAACGCAAATTGATTACTTGTTTGCTGAATCGGATCCCAACTTTGTGAGTCCCGACGTCACAGAAGGTCTGCACCGACCCTTCACGATTGTCAAGGACAAGCATGGCAATGATGTCCTCATGGACACTGCAACCGAAAAGACATATTACAATTTGGAGACGACGACGATTGAGGAGCGACTGTCTAACGGTTTCTACGCCCGCCCTAAAGATTTCTTGTTTGATATCCGCAGCTTGTCAAAGGACGCCAAGAATATCGGAGACAAGGAGCGCACTTTGAAGGCCAATGAACTTTTGAGCAATGTAGAGGTTGATGTCGCTAGCATCGAACAGAGTACATCTGCCATTGACTGGGAAGGTCTCTATACCCGACAAGTGCTGCGAGCGAAGGAGCAGGCCGAGAAGGAGCGGAAGAGGCAAGCGATGCAATTGCTCGTCGACAGGGTGCAGTCAGACCTTGGTGGCAACGGCAATGACAGTGACTCGCAAGGTCCTGTCACCCTGGGCGAGTCTGTACCAGGCTCCCGAACTACTGCTCGGTTCCAGGTGAGAAGTCCATTAGTCAACCCGCCTGTCTCAGCTGAACAGGGCCCTCAGCCTGTCAGTAATGGGACCTCGCATGCTGCAGATGGCGATGTGCAGATGAGTGGGGTGGACGACGATACTCAACTAGAGTCGGAGACGTCTGGCATGCCCCCTCCAAAGGCAGCTGGAACTGGGATGACGCAAATCTCCCAGAGATCAGCGGTCACTTCGCTACCTCCTGGAGTATCGCCTTCTGCGGTTATCAATGATGCCTCCACGACCAAGACATCTGATCCATCAACGCACCGATCTTCGAACTGGAGTACACAGTTGACGAACGGTAATCATGACGAACATAACCAAAGCGGATTGGGAGACCATGATGATGATATTCCTGACACGGCCCCAATGCCAAGCCAGGTGACGTCCAGCGGGGAAGACGTGTGGGTGCACTCGCAAGCGCAGGCCCTGCGAAGTAATATTGCTGCTGGCGAGTCTCACGCTACGACGAGCGGCAGCCCGCCATCCCCGCAGTCGTATGCTCAACGCACCCCCTCGAGCACCAAATCCCACGGTATTGGTGTAATGGATATACTGAACACTCAGTCAGATGATGTTCGTCACTCGAACTCATCTTCCCAACCGCTTGGCCTCGACCCTGCCATTGACGCTTTCTTGGAGTTTATGACAGACAAAACATCTGGATGCACCATTGAACAGCTCGAGCAGATCAACCGAGAACTCATGGATGAGATCTGGCGTAGCAGGAATGAGTGGAACCGTCTTACGGTTCTCAATCACGTCAAGAGCGTGTTCAACCTTACTATCGACGACATCGAGCGTATGCAAGGGATGGGCCCCCTCAGCCAGACGCGCCCTAGTATGGTCTCTTAGGAAGGGAATTCGGGCAGCTCAGGGCAAAAAAAGGCTGGGACTCTAGGGGTAGGGTGTCCCGAAGGAAACGATGTGACGAAGCTTCGATATGATCAAAGAAGCCGGTCTGCCTTGTGTGAAATCATTTAGAAATAAGGTCCCAAGCGAGGGCCGGGTTTGGTGTTACTTTTCCCCTCTACCATGTTTTATTTTTACATTGTTTATTTCCTTCCCGTTATTTGGCTCTGGAGTTTAGGACACAGCGGAAGGGGGCACGTCGGTGGATTTGAGTATCAGTGTATAAGCAAGGCGCTATTGAAGTTGAGTAAGGCAAAAAGTACACATACAGTTTGTGCTCAGGAAAAGATAAGAGGAAATATATTTTGCATGAAGCCAGAGGTTTGCTCTTTCACGTGCATGTGAAGAAGCCAACATATTGCTGCTGACTGAAACTGGATTGGATCTGAGTAATTTAGAGATAAATAAGTGTATCAATTTCGAAATGGCTGCATTTGATAGGCGTGACTCGATCAAAGTTGCAACGTGCAGAATTCCTACCTGATAATGACGGATACGGCTGATGGTGATTGGATTATCTGAGACATAGTTGTTCCACACATCCACCGGCCTCAAACTGCTGCCTCTACTATTCCTTTTCGCCTTCGCATCTAACCGGCGTGTGAGAGAAAGAAATCTGTGCCAGAGGCAAACCCAACGAAAAAAATGTCGCAGCAGGAATTGACACTCATCGTTGCCGCCACGCGGAGCATGGGCATTGGCGCCAACGGCTCGATGCCCTGGCAAGGTCTCCGCAAGGAGATGCAGTACTTTGCACGCGTGACGACCAGGCTGCCACCCCAGGTGAGTCAACCAAGACAGACCATTAAAAAAAGGGAGAAGAAGCTAAGGCAGTGTTGGAAGGCCGCGCCTGGCTCGGTCAACGCCGTCATAATGGGCCGCAAGACGTGGGACTCGATCCCCCCCAAGTTCCGCCCGCTCAAGGACCGGCTCAACATCGTCGTCACCCGCTCCGCGAAAGACTCGATGATCTCCCCATTGCCGCCGCCCACGCTGCCCCTCACGGAGCCCCTCCGTGTGTCGTCGTTTGAACGGGCCCTGGCGTGCGCGGATGCGCGGTGCGGCGACGGG